AAGAAGATTACAAACTAAAGTGGTCGACATTGCCCTTGCTTCATTATGGATCGAATATTTCAAAATTAATTCTGTAGAAATGTCTCACTACTGGTCGGAGGAATGTTTAAAACTACTTGTACCAAAACCTCCGTTAACAAGAAACAAATGGGATTTATTATTCAAGCCGTTTCCATTGAGTATATGGTTACTATTATTCGCAGTTACGTTGTTAAATATTTTAACCTTATGGATAGTTGCTGTTATACAACGAAAAATAAAATATAAGCACATTGACGGTAAGTTAATAGGTAAAATTATTATTGATTAATATTACTCGCACACCAACGACCTAACCCGTAACTCGACGTTTCTTCGACAAAACGTCCAGTACCGACCAGTCCCTCTATACTTTTCATGTTTCTCTTTTATATTCTTTTTACCATCATTATTAATTTGCTTACCTCGCATTTCCCTTTTATATGGAATTATTTTATTGTTTAAGAGTTCAAAAATTGCTTACTATTGTTGTAAAGCTTATATTATACTAAAATCGACGTAATTCAATACTTCCTAAGCTATTTACTACATAATGATAGCAGAATTTCAACGAGAAATAAAAAAATGTTCAAAATTATCACTTGAGTAAAAGAGTGATGGTAAATTAAAATAGTAAAACTCGTACTATTTGTAATAACCCATAAAATACAATACGTAGTACATTATTGTATAAATTAAAACACATTAAAATTTGAGTGGTGTAACAACCCCTAGTCTTTTATATTCCCTAGAGAAATCAAATATCAATTCAGTGTTATTTTAATATCATTATTTCTTTAATCCTTGAATAAATATTCATATATGAGAATATTTTTATTGAATTAACGTTAATTAAATCAACGCACCAGTTTTAAACTGCAATAACTCAAAAAATTTTAATTTTAAGTTTTTATTTTTCTAAGTTGAAGTTTCATTATTCAACATTAAACGTTTACAAATTCAATTCAATATAACTAAGTAATTTTCTAAATTTTTTTAAAATTGAATTTTACATTAAAAGTAACATTAAAATTGTGTAGAATCATTACTAGAAAATTTGATTTTTTAGTTTTTGCAGTTTTGGACAGTTCAAAATGTTCTATAATAATGAGACGCTGAAAAAATTATAATAAATCATTATAATAATTCTCAAAAAAATACTTTATTTAATTGTATTATACAAAGGTTGAAAAGTAACATTAATATTCAATTAATAGTGTTTACCAAACTTTTTTTTTGATTGTACGTATATAACTTTAATCTTTTGTGATAAAATAAAGTACATTTATTAATTTTTTCAACGACTGATCACAGACGCAAAATTTACTGTAACCTATTGGGAAGACTTTATCGTAATTTTTTAATAAATATTCTTTACATATACTTTCGTTTTCCGGTAACGGAGTGACTATCTACTACTTTCTATAAAAATAGATAGTTTAAATTAAGTTAGCCCTTTTACTAAAATAACAATTTTGTTCGTATTACTAATATTGAGTTTCATTGTGTTTTTTTAATAGCTTTTACTTCACTATCATCTTCAATATTTTGGTTATTGGGAATCATGTTTTTGGCAAGTTTTCCTGTGCATACTCATAGATTAGGTCCAATAAGACATTTGCTAAACTGGTGGTGTATCTTTATATTTATAATTGCAATAGCATTTTCTAGTGTTCTTTATTCTTACATTACTTCACCTGAATATACTAATCTTGCGACAAGTATTGAAGAAATGGAGAAGGAAGATTATACTTGGGGTGGACTTATCGACCACGCGACTTGGACATTTGTTTTGAAAATAGAAGTAAGATAAATGAAACTTGAGATTTACACATTTATTTTGCTCTGAGACTATAAAACTTAAAATAGAACATAAACAATTTGTTGAAAGATCTTTTTGATCCGAAAAATATTTTTATATAATATTATATTTTATCGGTGGATAAACTCCTGAGCAGGGACCGACTGGTCACGAAGACAAGGGGTAATTGCTCCTTCGGCCATTGTCGATAAGCGCTACTATGATAAGTGTAAAACGGTTTATAAAATCAAGTTATGCTCATCAATTCTTTCTATAGAGCGATACAAATATTTTTTTAAATGAGCTAAGTCACTATAATTAATGATCCCTCTGGTCCGTTAACCTTCTTGTTTACCTTATAGGACTTAGAAAGTTAGCTGTAATCGTAATAACAAATTAATCTTTTTTTTATAGAGTTTTTTTACAACAAGATTTTACACAATTTTTTTTTTTAATTTAAAAAAAAATTGCCAAATTAATTCCTAAAACCATTAATGTACAATTACTAGTTCTGAACTTTGGTACACTCATGTACCTATCTACATAAGTAAACTTTTACTAATTCTTCTAAATGCAAAATTTTATATTTTTTTTATGTGCTAATATTTATCACCACTAGATTCAGAATTTATAAAATATGATTTATAATAAGGCTTTTTATTTTTGATGTTATAGAATCCAATACATAAGAAATTCAGTGTTAGATTTATACCGGAAAAAAGTATAGCTGAACGTATTGATCGATTGGTAAATGGAAAATATGCGGTTTGCACTAAATTTATTAACGGAAAATATTTTATGGAGATGCAAGATTTACCACCATATCTGCTGAGTGATTTAAGAACATCAAGAGAATGTTTGAACTCGTTTTATATTGGAATAGGTTTTACAAAAAATTCTCCGTTTTTAAAACCGGCTAACATAGTAATACGACATTTATTAGAAAGTGGTATCATTAACTATTGGATGAATCGAATTTTTGAAAAAAAACTGCCCTTAAATACATTTGATCGAATTTTCGAACAAAAACCATTAGCCGAAAAGGATAGTGGCCCATCGCCACTCACTTTTGATCAATACAAAGTTGTTATAGTTGTATGGTTAATCGGTTGCATTTTGTCAAGTACAACTTTTATTTTTGAATTAAAATATGGAAAGGTTTGTGTTAAAGATAAAAAAAAAAAAATATTGTCTCGTAATAGTGAAAAAATTCCAAAACTTTTTCATGGAAGTGAAACTTAATTTATGTTAATAAAAATATTAAGGAGCATGAGAACAATGTGCATACTGTGCAATTACCTTCTTGCTTCTTCCTTTTCCATCTTGTTGCTAAAAGTTATTAATCTTTTATTTATATACCGTAATGGTAAAATTATTTTTATTATTAACATTTATTGTTAATTTATAATTATTTTAGACATCGTCGTTTTGTTGTTCGGTAAGCAAGTATGTTTTTTTTCGTTCCACTATAAAGTTTTATTATTGTAATAATTTTATTTTCTATTTTTACTATAATCAATAAATAAATTATACATAGACATAAAACTAATTTGTTAACTTAGGTAAAATAATTACAAATTATGATTATCAAATATAAACGTTTAATATATTTTAATGATTATTTTTTA